TGTTACAAATCACCTAATCAATGTTCCGGTTAACCACACACGCTCCATTGATCTATGATTAACATCAAGCTACCCTTTGCCACACACAGTCCCAGATTAGTGTGCCGATTAACCACACACGCTCCACTAACGACTTAACAAGGTGCAAAGTGTAATTTCATGGATTAGCACCAAATTCACATTTTCCTAAAGTAACTAAGATTGGGAATTTAATAAAAGTTTAGTTACTTTATTTATTGTTATACTTTAAATGAGAATTAATGTCCTATCCTACCCGTTCCGCTAACGACCCTCCACCAGTCAAGGAAACAGTGGGTGAGAGTGGACACCCATTAAACCATCATTTTATAGGCAGCAACCTTATACCCCCCTTATAGACCGGCTTCGTGAATGAGGCCTACTAACGGTAAGACTGACTTGTCTTATACATATATATATATATATATATATATATATATATATATATGTATATATATATATATATATATATATATATATATATATATATATTAATCTTATAATATATAAAGTATAAGGGTTGAATTTTAACTTTTAAAACTCTAGGGTTTGGAATTAAAGTTTCATTAGTGTGACTTTACAAATTCCAAAACTTGAGGGCAAGTTTTTAAACTTGTCAAAACTCTTCATTTCTATAACTTATGAGTTTAATTGCATTTTAATGGATGAGAACTTTCATTTTCCATAACTTGAGGACAAGTTATGGAGGTCATTAAAAGCATTAAGATCAACATTTTAACTAACAAAAATTATCAAGTAATTTATCTATGATCTAGTTAAACTTATAAGTCAAGATAATTCACATCAACAATTTTAGAAGAAATTAGCCTAATCATATAAACTAATACAAATCTTGAAATTTTGACAATTATATTTTAATCGGATGAACATGATCACTACCATATCAAAAAAACAGATTTTATGTTTCAAAACACAGTTTGTGGTAATGATCCTAATTTAATTCTGGCCAAAAACTCGAAATTCTACACCCAGAGTCATCAACCCGGCGAGTACATGAACTTGACTCGTCGAGTTGGTCATTTACTGAGTGGACTCGTCGAGTCAGCCAGTAGACTAGGCGAGTTCATCAGTCAGAAGCAAGAAAATCGATTTTTTCAACTTTGAAAAGCAATAAGCATCAAGTATAACAGAAAACAATCCTAGGCTCTGATACCACTATTGGGTTTTGAGCACTATAACATTCCTATGGTGCACATACAACCCTAGATACTTTGGATCTATGTTTTCTCTAATTATACATGCATTTTTTAATTTTCCAAAGCATACACCCTAACTAGCATACAATTGAAGCTATATAACATAGAAACTAGTTTAGATGATTACCTCTTATATGTAGGGTGTAGTTCTTGAACTTTGAAATCTTGAGCACCTCAAGTGTGATGCCTCTAATGTGTCACAAACACCAAATGCAAGATGAGGCTTGAGAGAATAAGTTACTTGGCTCAAAATCAATATCACTCTCCAAGAATGAATGGGGTAACCGATTTTGGCTCTAGGGGTGTGCTTTTATAGTGTGACAAATGCTAGAGTTACATTCATGCAAACCCTAATGAACCATGACCTTTCATATTACTTAGGCTCCATGGGTTAAACCTCCATGGACTATCCATGGACTATGTCATTAGTTTAGCCCATCCTAAATAACCATGGATCATTAGCCCACACTATAAGAATCATTGATTTACATAATCAATCCTTATATATTTAATTAGTCTCTTTTGATCACAAAATTAATTCCAAATTAATTCTTGATCAATACTAATTAAATAATATGATTTCTCAATTAATATATTATACTTATAATATATTAATAAATCATAAATAACCTTATTCTCACAAGTCCATCCTATCAAATTGCACTGGTGAAGGCAACCCAAAAGGACCATGCTACTATCGGGTCAAGTACATCCCAATTATAGATATGAGCTTAGACACCTAATCCAACACGAATGTCGGGCGGGGCCTGATGAATGTGATGAGGCGGGGCTCATCTCATATTATTTACAAATCTGTCGAGCGGGGCCCGATGGTTGTTGGGCATGGCCCATTGTATGTTTGGTATGTATGGTATGAGGTATCTTAGGGAACTTACTAAGCTTTGTGCTTAAAGTTTTCAGTTATGTTTCAGGTACTTCCGGATCGAAGGGGAAGGGATCGGGATGATCGCATCACGCACACCACGTTGTTCCGCTTTTGTTGATTTGATATACTTGGATGATTATTGACACACTTTGATTTTTCTTTTATGGTTTTGTAAACACGCTTTGGATGATGGTTTTATCATTATTAAAATGAAATTTTTGGTCTTAATTTTTGGGACGTTTCACACCATGTTATGCATTATGATACATGTATACATAATATCTCGTAGAGTTTGTAACTAATACAGTCGTGCCGCATGTTCAACTATGTGTCATTTTGATTTCAGAACTCTGAAAGCACGTTCTATGTCCTTACGTGCTCATTCTTGTCTTCTCTTGAAAAATTTGTCTCTTGGTTCTATCGGGTGTCTAAACTCCTTCACAAACATGGAATATGGTGGATATATTCCATTGGTGAGGTAGTACCCAAACTTATATTCATTTACATTCATTGTGAAAGGAGCATCCGGTGCCTTTTCTGTCAAAAGATCCTCAAATATTGGTGACTGATCAAGAACGTTTACATCATTGTTGGAACCCGCAACTCTGAAAAAAGCATTTCAAATCCATAAGTCTTGTGAAGCGAAAACCTATAAAACCAACGAAGGCGATCCAAGATGACCACTTGTGTATTGACCTTTCCACGCAACATGACAATTTCTCCATATCCACGTTATGCAATCAATGCTTCCAAGCATACCCGGAAAACCATGTCGTTGTTCATGCGCCACATATAGTTGTTGCATATCATTCAATGAAGTTTTGCGCAAGTATTTGCCACTGAAGGTTTCAACAACACCTCACGCCAATCTATATAAATTTTCTCATGCAGTTCGCTCCGATATTCTCATATAGTCATTAACGGAATTGGGCGACTCCCCCATAGCCATAAGCTTGATTGCAGCAACACATTTCTGCAACCGTGTGAAACCTCGCTTACTCCTCGCATCATACCTCATTTGGAAAATTCATACCTAAATATTTATTTAATTGATAAAAAACGATTATCTAAAAACTGTATAAAAACATATATATTTAAGTGTATTTATTTTATCTAAAAACTGTATTTACGATACTTGTTTTCCAATGCATTGACTATCCGTTGAAACACATTTTTTCACAAACGAAACATTCTTTTGAAATCGCTAGGTTGGTAGACACAATTCTCCGCAAAATAATCGTTGAATAGACGTCTATTCCCTTCTTCACGATCTATATTTAACGAAACACGTCTTGTGAGTAGTGGAGTTGGCTCTGGTTGTAGTAGCACGTCCATATAATATTGGTACATCGTACTCACAAAAATATCGTCGCCGTTGTTATCATCATTAATTGGATGAAACAGATCAAAATAATTCATTTTTTTTGTTTTGAAAGTGAGAAATGAAGGTATTTTGAAAAAAAATGAAGTGAGAAGTGAAGATATTTTGTGTAAAAAATGAAATGAATATGTATTTATAGGTGAGTAAATTTGAAAAAGAATTTTTTTTTTAACTTTTCGACCGTTCAGAACGGTCCATTTTTGACCGTTGAGTGAATTAACATTTGAAAAATGAAGTTACCTCCTGTTACAGTGCCAATGCCTAATACCATAACAAGTAATAACGCGCATCGGGGGCGATGTTCAAGGCGTTATGGCGCCTGTTATTTGGGTGCCAGGTCGGAATAATACGTATGGGTGTTGCCCATACCAACCGGTCTAAGAAACCTCAATTGTAAATGGTTAATGATTAGGCTAGAGGAGTGATAACACTCCTAAGACGTTAGTCATATCATCTTTTTGAGTGTCATATTACTTTTCTCTCTTAACACTTAGTTTTTAACATTTGAGAGGGAGTGGTAACATTCCTAGCACTCTATTTTTTTTATTTTTCTTTTTCAATTTTAAATATATTATACTTTTTTTTAATACACAAACACTTAATATCAAATATTTTTTTTTTTTTAAATACAAACACCTTAAATATTAAATACAAAGGTTTATGATTTTGGACAAAAAATGAGAAGTTGCTAAAACTTTGGGGATCAAATGTGTAATTTCTTTCTTTTCTTCCTAATTTTCTGGTTAAAAGGAACACACAAAAATAAAAGCTGATATTTTCTCACAAGCTTGCTTTCTCACCGTCAAAGTGTAAACCTTGTTTTATTTTTAATTTTTTATTAAAAAAAAGAAAGTGAAATCATTAATCACAGCCATTTCTTTCCTCTTTTTCATTCTCTTTCTTCTCGCTGTCCAACCAGCGATCCTTCCTTAGCGAGGCACCTAGCGAATTCAATGAAAATGATGGAAGTGACCTTGGCTAGCGAGCCATTCCCTCCATCCTTATACGTCATTTTGATTAATGTGACTAGTGATGGTTTTGACTTAGTAAAATGGTTTTATGGTGTCCCGGTTTTTAGGGGCGAATAGAATTCTCCATCTAGGACATGAAGTGACGTGAAAGCTCTCCAATGCAAATAATACATATACACGATAGGACATGAAGTGATGTAAAGGCTCTCCGATCCAAATGATACATATTCACGATAATTAGTGAAATTATATATGCACATCTCTAATTGTTTTGTATACTCTTTTTGTATAATAGTACAGATCGGAGCACCCTTATGAGTATGACAATATCCACCGTCTTTAATCATTCTACTAACTTTCATCGAATTCCATGCAAACTTTCTACATAAAATAACCATGTTTCACGTGATTTTACAACCTCCGATCACATCATACAACCACACCGCCGTACTCCGGCACCATCACTATAAACACCCTTCATACCCACCTTAAAAACACACATCCTACTCCATCATCAAAACACTCCAATGGCTGAAAATGGTACAGACCAGCAGCAATCCCCGTTCGACGAAACACTGGCCAAGACCCTTAAATTCTTGCCCATCATTGCCCTCTCCGATGGTGACCCGGTTTGGCTGGTCATCTCTTTCGTTGTCGTCCTGGTGTTTAACCTCCTCATCCCGGTGTTGATCATTATCATTCCGGTGTTAATCATCTTAAGCCCGGTGTTTATCATCCTGGTGTTTATCCTCCTCATCCCGGTGTTGATATACCGTTATGTCACCGGAAAACACCCGATTTGGGGGGACCACGTAGACGAGGTTCGCAAGAAGATTGTTGAGGCGGTGGAGAAGTTGGGGAAGGAGGTGAAGGACAAGATGGAGGAGTTGGTAGCGAATCTCGGCGGCGGCGGTGGTGGTAGCATTGGCCGCGACTGAGAAGGTGATAGAACTAAATAACGTCACTATGTTATATATAGTACTGGATAATATTATTCTAAGGGGCCGCTGACGGATGTTTCAGATTGGCTACCAAATACCTTAGGGAGGTGGGAATGGGCAACGCGCCAAGGGGCGTTATCGGGTGTTATAACACGTGAATACCGCCCCCTTCCCCGTTATCAGACGTTATTAGTCTGCGCGTTGCTCCCTGTTACCACCATAACATTTTATAACGCCGTTTTTTTGTCTTTTTCCCAATAACCGGCGTGCCCACACCTACCAGTCATACCCCACCATAAAATGATAAAATCACCGCATAGACTTGTATGATTGATTTGTCCTATGTTTGAACTTTATTTTCTTATGAACAATATGTGTATTTCATGATTTTTTTGGTTATATATAAAATGGTTATTGGTTAATAAAACATACATCTAGACAAGAATGACGTTTTTATTCAACATTTGACTATATAAATAATCGTCGCAACCTTTGTTCTAAGTTCTAACTTCCAAGTAGTGGAGATGTATATATTAAAGAAGGATCTCTATAAAACAATTATGAAGAAATGAGACTTTGGTTTTGTTCTGCGCATTAGCAAAAAAAAAGAAAAAAAACATAATTTTTTTAGTTTTTTGAACAGCAAATCTACACTACTCCTAAATTATACCTAATACCATCTATGTCTCCAATGAGACTTGAACCCTCAACCTCTAGGAAGAAGGGCAACACCCAGTACCGCTGGGCTAGAAGCCCTTTGGTACATAATTTTTTTAATTATCAATAATTTAACTTACAAGATATATGGTAATCTATTTTTTTGAAATTATTAAATGTTAGATTACAATAAACTTACTTAGAAAATTAGTTTATAAGGTAGTTTATTTCTCCTAAACATGACAACTTATCTGTTTTTGAAATATCAGTTCAAACTTAAATCTCTTTTTAGGCCAAAGTTTACAAAATTCAGTGTAGTTTGGATTTTTTTTTTGTTTAACCATCGAAATATTTTTTTTTCTAGTTTAACAACTTAGAGTTTGTATTTTTTTTCATAAAAAAAAACACTCAACGTTTTTACCGTTAGTGAGGTGCATATAACAAAAGAAAGATTGTTCTTTGGATGAATGATGGTTTTTTTAGAAAAAATTCAAAGTTTAATGGTTTTATTGAAAAGAAAATTTTCTTCAAGTAGTTGAACCAAACAATTTTCAAACTCTCGTGATTTTTATAGATTTTAAGTGGTTTTTTTTTTAAAGTTCATAGAAGAAAGTTTTTTCTCCCCTCTTTTTATATCGAAGTTCATAGAAGAAAGTTTTAGGGAAGTAAAATATATCAAAATGGTGAGGGCATTAATTTATCATATATGAATCTCATGTATAATTCCTTTTTAACATATTATTAATTTTAATTATTGACATATATATATATATATATATATATATATATATATATATATATATTATATATATATATATATATATATATATATATATATATATATATAATATCAAAGTTTTTTAGTGGTTTTTTTTAAAAGTTCATAGAAGAAAGTTTTAAGGAAAGAAAATATATCAAAATGGTGAGGGCATTAATTTATCATATGTGAATCTCATGTATAATTCTTTTTTATTTAACATATTATTAATTTTAATTATATATATATATATATATATATATATATATATATATATATATATATATATATATATATATATATATATATATATATATATAGAGGCTTAGATTATTGTATTCAAATTAATTATTGTGTGGATGTAGGGATAAATGTAGACCAATTGTTTAGTTATTTTAAGTAATGATTCACATATCTTTAAATTAAGAGACACATGTTTAAATTAGGAAACACATTTTTAATTAATGAAAACTTCGGATTTTAATGGATATTGATTCTTTTAATTTTGAAATTCTGATTTTTTTTAATTAATTCATTTTAAATTCTAACATAATTTTTAATTTTACTCGATTTTATTCTTTTAGAATGCAATTTTGCTAGAACGATATTTTATGAAAATGCCAGAATATATTCTGATAGAGTACATATTTTAATTGAAGTAACTTTTTATAGAAAAACAACATTCTTGAACCTTCAGTTGAAATATAACATGATCCTTATATATTCAAACATTGTAATGCAAATATAGATTCATACATATTCTTACAGAATAATAGTCTAAATAACATCCTTAAATATACAATTATTGAACAAATAGATTTGATTACTAAAATTAATTAATAGATAACATTAAAAATTTACCTTATTTAATTAATTTTTAAACTATCTTGCCTAAATTAAAGGGATTAATTAAATATTTATTTAATTACTAAAATTAATTAATAGATAACAATAAAAATTTATCTTATTTAGGTTTTTAAATGATTGGCTCACATTGATTTCTATATCCACATAATAATTTGTTGGAATACTTGAACCTAGCTCTCTCTCTCCCTATATATATATATATATATATATATATATATATATATATATATATATATATATATAGAATAGGACAAGAAAACAAAGGATAGGCTCTTTACATTATCAATAAAGATACAAAATTTTACTTTGAGAGTAAGAGCCAAATGCATAGTAAGATTCATGGTTAGTTTAGGAAGGGATCATGGAATTTTGGAAATGAATGGAAAGATAATATACTTTTATTAAGTGATTTATTAGATAATTGAAAATAGAGAATCTTGAATACTAATATAAATTCAGAATAACTACGTGAGGGGGCCATCAAACAATTGGAAAAAGCTTGGGCTCACCTACGAAAAGTGGAAATAAAAGCAAACCATTTTTGAGTGAATGGATTCTTTAATATAAAGTGAGAAAAACTAAATTTGCCCGATTCAATTTAGAAGACTTTGGAACAACTAGAAAACTACAAAAATGAAACTATAAAATTTAAACAACAAAAAGCGAGTAAACATCGTGTTTTCCAACAAGCCTTACAAGGAGCTCTAGGAACTCCGAATAGTTGTTTAAACATCGAGATACCGTATTTCAAGTAGACATTTCTCATATTTGTAACGTCCCAAAATTCATAAGTAAAATTTTTATTTTTAAGTTTATCAAAAATCATCAAATATCCACATTAATCCAACAAAAGTATGTCAATTTGAAAATGGTTATCAGAGTGTAGTCTCAAATATCATAAAAATGATGAACACAGGTGGATGTGCTGCGATCAGGTCGGGCTCTTCCCTTTCGAACCGGAAGTACTTGAAACATAAATTTAAACCGTAAGTACAAAGCTTAGTGAGTTCCCCAAAATATCACACATAACATACACATGAATATAACAGCACGCGGCTATGTCCGGTCCATATCAACCCCATATAACAGCAAGTAGCTGTGTCGGGTCCGTATCAACCCCCGGGTCTGTATCGACCCTGAGTCTGTAATAACTCCGAGCCCAAATTGGCTCAATGCATAATTCATATAATCATATCAGTAATAGTTACATAATCACATATATCCTACACATACAATTCAGTAGGCCGACATTGGTGTCTTCGACTGTAACATCCCCATCTGTCACATATCACAATATTGTTCGTTTTGGGCTCCCGACACGAAAACTTCCCAGGGGGTCACCCATCCCTGGATTGCTCTCGCCCAGGCACGCTTAACTGCAAAGTTTTTATGGGATCTGCTGCCCTCACAGCTTTAAAACGCATTGTGACAAGGAAAGTATACACACCCCTTATAAGGAAATGTTTCGTTCTCCTTCCAAGCCGATGTGGGATCAGGTGCAACCCACCTTCACCCCCCATTATAGGGTTCGATGTCCCTGTCGAACACATTGACCTGTGCCCTAGCTCTGATACCATTTGTAACATCCCCATCTGTCACGTATCAAAATATCGCTTTGGGCTCCCGGCACGAAAACTTCCCAGGGGGTCACCCATCATTGGATTGCTCTCACCCGAGCATGCTTAACTGCAGAGTTCTTATGGGATCTGTTGCTCTCACGGCTTTAAAACGCGTTGTTACAAGGAAGGTATCCACACCCATTATAAGGAAATGTTTCGTTCTCTTTCCAAGCCAAAGTGGGATCAAGTACAACCATGTAACGCCCGCAAATTCGGGCTAGTCAAATTAGAGATAATGAGCATTAATAATAACTTTTTGGTAGAAGATTATTTAGAGTAGATAACATTAACCAAGTTATAGCATCTGTCTCAAGGGTTCTGTACATATAAAGAACGCCGAAATCTGAGTTATAACGAAGAATTTATGACCTGTCGAAGTTTCACGATAAAACCGGGACGACGCTGTGTGACGTAAAAAGTGAGTTTGTGATAAAGAGCTTTTTAGCATTGGCGATCTAAACGAAAGTCGTAGTATACGTTAAACAAAGAGCGTGCATAATAAGAACATCCAAATCCGACTTCGTATGAGGAAGTTATGCATTTTCTAACATTTGGCATAACAGTGTGCAAGCCGGAGTTCGAATTTTAGATCGATCGATTTTTAGCCGACACAAACTAAACGAGAATTAAAGATCTCATTAATAGGAGTTGAACGATAAAAATGCAGTCGAAAACGGAGTCCGTGTGTAGAAGTTATGAGTTTTACGTGGTCGTTAAACAGTGTAATCTTCTCATACTGTTAAATTTAAAATCGGTCGAGAATTAGCTGATGGAGTCAAAAGGAGAGTTGTATATCTTATCAATACCTATGTGTGGATATAAAGAACATCGAAAACGAAGCTCATATGCGAAAGTTACGGGGTTTAGAAGTTGGAATAGTGCTGCAGAGAAGTGGGTGACGTGGTGCAATCTGAGTCATTGCTTTCTCCCCACCAGATAACGACAAGTGGCACCAACTCGACAAGTTGGAACAGAAACTCGACAAGTTTGGGGCCAGAAACTCGACGAGTTGGGTCATAAACTCGACTAGTTCATCACTTTTTCAGCCTATAAATACCACCCGAGAGTTCCTTCATTTTTCACACCTTAAACCTATT